TCTTCCTTTATTGTATCTTTCCATTTGAGGATAGACTCTTTCCTTTGACCTCGGTCTTCTTAAATTTGCAAGATCATGACTTGATGTACTATCCTAATAGCTTGGATCTCCATATATATATATATTGGTCCTCTTGCATGGAAAGTATTCAAAAAATATTTCCTTATAGGTATTAAAAGATATTCTTTATATTTGTGTGAAGGAAAATATTTTTCTTAAGGAAACATTCATTGTGAGAGGAGATGCATGAAAATTCAATTTGAATTTTGAATAACTCATTTTATTTTGGAAACTTGCTTTGTGGAAAGATCTCTTAATTAATACCTTTGATTTAAATAACTTTCTTTTAAAGAAAAAGTCCTTTCTTTGCATAAACATTAATTATTTCCTTACACAAAAATTCTCTTTAATTTATTAAGACAAAACCGAAATTGGACGAAGAGAAAAGATATTTTAAGTATGCCACATTAATCAATCTTGGATTCGCAGGACAGTTCTAGGACCGGATCTACGACATGTTCTAGAGCACGACTTAAACTCTTTTCCTGGAATCAAGTAACACTAGTTGTTTGTCAATAACAAAACAATACGAAATATGTTTCAACAAAAGTGGTTAGACATCATTTTTAAAATTTTGTTTAATTATACTCCGTAATAGCTGCACGTACTGGTGAAATAATAATAAATGTAAAACTAAATCAAATCGTGCACTTAATGCTACTATTCACTTAATCAATTAATTAAATATCAAAAAATAATTCTTGATCTATATATAACCAAATAGATATAGACGAGATAAAAGGTGAATTAGTAACTTTTAATGATCATAATTATTTTCAAATTTTAAATCACTGTAAAAGTACACTCATGATGGAGTCATGACTCACGATACTTTTAGTCATATTTTTGTTAATGAGTTTTAAAATAGTACGGTATAATCGTGTAAGTTTTTAGAAAAAAAATATCTGAAATTAGACTTTTTTTGGTGACCTCTTTTTCATTTTATCAAGCTAACTTTTTTATCCAACACATAATTTTTTATTTTGTGAGCTGAAATGTGTAACAATCAAAATAAGAAAGATTAGATATATTTTTGACTGAATTGACTGAACTTACATTGGTGGGCGACTTTGACTATAATTTCATATATATTTTTCTTAACTTTTTTTAGAAAATATTTTAAATATTTTTTTCCCATAATTCAGCAGATTTAGTGAATTATGCCTCTTCCGTCGAACTTTATTAATTTCACCATATTTGACGCATTTTGGAGGTTAAAAGAGTTTGCCCGAAGTGGGTGAAACTAGTCAATGCAAGGTGGCTTGAATAATCTGCACTCGCAACAACCTTGAAAATTTGTGTACATTTGCACGTTTTATTCTAAATGTTCGACGCCGATTTTATTAATCTCTAGTTGCTAACATGAGGTATTCACAAGGCCTCGTTCTGTACAAATTCAAATTCTTAAGTTTAAAATGTTATTCCAAATGATGCAAGCTATACCTTTAAAAAATGAAGTGAATAGAGGATTGCTTTCTAGTTAATTGTGTTAAATGTTTTTAAATTTCACATAGGCTAGTATTAAATGTTAATGACGTTACCGAATAATGATAGAGAAAACTATCAAATAAGCTCCCATACTATATTCAAAAAGTCAATTAGACGCTCGTACTTTAAGAACACTCAATTTAACCCGCGTACTCTCAAAAACTACTCAATTGAGCTATTTAGCATGTCAGCTGCCAGTTCCCAAAGTCACCTGCGTGTGTGGTAGTCTTGGTGGAAGCTCACGTGGCAAGTTTATCCTCTCCCCCTTTTCTACGTAGTACTATCCTCCGTATCACATTAATTGCAACATTGGAATATATACACTATTCATGTACTTTACTTTGACTACATTTTATTTATTAATGTATGTGAATTATTGTTTTTGAAAAATATTATTAAATTCGTCTCATTACTAAGTTTTATAATCTGATTTTTATTTTATTTTTACTAATACATAATTAAATATAATGACGGTCAAAGTTGTGCGTTGACAAACGTGAAATGTTGATTGTTTCAAATAAAAAGAGAAGGAGGAAGTATTTGTTTTTCTTTTCCTGCGTGGCAGCCTAGTAGCCTTGTTCCCGTTCACTTCATCATCGTCAAAGAATGGGTCCATCTTCCCCATATTTGTTCATGTTCCATATTTCCATTCAAGTTGGTGACATCGCAGAGCTGGGAAGCGTATCTTCCGGCATCCGTTCAACCATTTTGGCACCAAGCCAACCATCACTAGCGCCGCCGCCGCGGGAGTCTTTGGAAAGGAGGCCTAATAGTGAATTTCGTAAGCCTCAGTGTTGGTCCCGGTTATACTGGATATAGTCTAGAGGGGGGGGGGGGTGAATAGACTGTATTGGTTTTTAGCTTTTTAAACTAAGTACCAGATTTACAGAATAGCCTGTTCTGTTGGCAGAACAGACTGGCAGCGGATGGGGTTCTGGTAGGGAGTTCTGTTGATTTAGCCTCAGAGAAGCAAAGGCAGTAGGCCTTCTGTTAACTCGTAGAACAAATTCTGCTGAACACAGATACCAAGTCTGAGGAGTTAAACAGTTCTATCTAAGTGCAAATATTAAAGCAGTAAGTAAACGACACCAGGGATTTTTATAGTGGTTCAAGAAACAACTTGTTCCTCTAGTCCACTGTTCCACTAAGCTGTAAAAACTTCCGTTTACAAAGCCTTAGTCCTAGCACTTAAGAAGCTCTCCACGTCTTCTTCAAGTCTAGATGTCTCCTGGGATGCACTGCCTGACTTCCTTTAAGACTGGTCTTTTCACTGAGTTTCCTTGAAGTATCACCACTTCACTACTCCAGTTACTTGGACGTCCTTCTTGTAGCAAGAAGAGTTTCTGTTGAAACTGGGGTTCCTCCAACTAGCTTCGTTACAAAAGATTTGTATGTGATGAGCTTGAAGAGTTGAAGAACACTTGGAACTTTGCTTGAGTTGGAAAAAGTATTTTTCCAACTTCTGCCTTCTCTTGTAGAAGATAATGAGTTTGAATCTCAAGGAGGCTTTTTGCTTTTCAGAGTTTGAATATCTTGTATGAAGAGTTGTAGCAATGGTTAGCAAAAGTTGCAAAGTTATCCGGTTGTTCTTCGTAGTGTATCTTTTATACTGAGGTTGTCTTCCCGTTGGAGGAGTAGGAGGACAACTGCATTAAATGAGCGATCAGTTGACTTGACTAGTAGAGCCCGGTAAAGTTGGCGGGTTACTATTTTGGGATAAAGTATTCCTGACAATGCGGCCAATCATCTGCAATTACTCTACGTAGCATGGGGTGCATTAAATGAGCATTTAATGCGCGCACTGTAGCTTTTCCGTTTCATACTCCTAGCCGTTGAAGGAATCTTTTAGTTGACTTCCCGGTTCTGTGAAATTCTTCTAAGTGTCAGACCTTCTGGTGTCTTTAACTGAGAGTAGAACAGAGGAGGTCTGGAGCACTTCTGTTGGGAGAATATCCAACAGAGACCCAGAAGGGTTTCTGTCAGAGTAAAGACTAACAGAGACCCTGAGGTCTTCTGTTCTGAAGCAGAGAACCAAAGGTCCTCTGTTTCAATAATGCCTTACGAGGCTCTTCTGCTCTTGGAGCCCTTCTGCTCAGAAGGTCTTCTGCTCTGAAGGCATTCTGTCAAGTCGATTACTCTAAGAACTTTACAAAGGAAAATTCTAATACATTAAATCTAAATAGGGGTACTCTAAAGGCCTAATTAATCTAGCATCATCAAAATCTAAATACAATTATTCCTTACAATTTCCCCCTTTTTGATGATGCCAAAACCCTTTAACTATTTCCAGAGAAGTGCCTTCACCATAAAGAAAGATTAAGTTTAAAAACTTCCATTAAAATCTTGGTGGGCAACTTGGCATAGGAAAATAGTAAGAGTACGGTACATTCAGATAGCAGAAAATAAAAGAAATAAACAAACACAAGCAGAAGGCAAAAAGACAAGAATTTGAGGAAAAGCACTTCAAAGTAAGAAGGCAGAGATGTGATTTTATTAGATAAGTTTTACAGAGTTTAAACCTTACACATTCTCCAGATTAGCTGCCTGTAGAGCTTCTTCCTCTAGTCTTTGAAGCCTGAGCAGTTCTTCGTTTATTTCAGCTCTGATTTTGAAAAGATTTCCAGACCTTTGATAAGATGCCCAAATTGGAGAAAGCTTGCAGTCCAAATAGTTGAGAACACCTTCATGTATGGTCTTTCCTGGGACAATGTTCTTCTTATATCATTCTTCGGCTTCTTCTAGTGATCCCCCATACCTAACTCTGACAACACCATCTTTGTCCAAATAGAGGCGCTGTTGTTGGGTAGGAGTCATTTTGGCCTTCATCTCTTCAAATTGAGCTCTGTCAATTTTCCGAGAACCACCCAATCTCCATTCAGTGAAGTTAAAAACTTTCTTCTTCTTGGTGCTTTTCTTTACTGGAGATGGGGGTCTAGGTATGCCTGCTGCTCTCTTCTTCTGCAGGGCAGCTTCAAAGTAGGGAGCCGGATCTACTGCAGGCTTAGCAGAGGAGGGTGCCCTGGTAGGAGTTCTGTGGGCCTAGGCCTGGTCTATTGAGGGTCCTCTTCCCCCTTTTTGGCATCATTCAGATCTTCTATCATAAGACTGAACTTCTGGAATTCTGAGGCCTGAGTGGAGGCTATCTGCTCCAGGGCCTCTGGTAGAGTCTCACTAGTACAAAAAAGGCTTCTGACATCACCTTATCCACATGTGTTATTGTATAACCCATGTGAAATATTGACACGGGGTCATTTTTATAATTTTTATAAACTTTTTCACATGGGTTGTTGATATATCTGATGTTAAATAGTGAAACGGGGTATATTTTAGAATTTTATTAAATATTTTACATCAGTTGTATGTGCAACCGATGTCAAAGAAAAAACGGGGTCATGTTTTTAATTAACAAAAGTTGTGTTAACATCGTTTAAAACCCATTTAGAAAAGCGGCGAAAACAATCCGCCCTTCCTTATTCCAGATCGGGTATAACCGACCTGAATGAGTTAAAGCCTTATCTATTTGTTTAGCAGAATGTCAAACCTAGCCAAACAAATTCAATGGAGCAGCGACGGGGGACGACCAATGACCAGCTACAAGCGACCAGAGACGGACCCGACATCATACTCCTGGCCTTAAGTTGGACTAGCGACCAGCCGCAACTGGCGCATGCGACTATGGCGTATAGTTGCCGCTGCTCGACGATTGCAGGTCTTGAGCGAGCATATGACTTTGCTTGAGCGAGCATAGGACGGCCTTAGAGCGAGCAATAGGACGGCGTTGATTGCAGGTACAGAAATTGATGCCTTTTATGTAGTATTTATATAGGGATCTCGAAGGTTAGTTCTTCACTTAAGGTAATACTGAAATTAGTTTTGAAAACCTAATATTTAATTCGTTTGATTCAAAAGGCGAACCCCTCCAACTAGTTGTATGAGGTAGATATTTGCTAAAGTGATGTTGTACTCCAGTTTGATTCATTGCTTATATATTTTTATTTATTTCTGCATTAATCACAATAGACCTGCTTTTTTATGCAGGCTAAGTGTTCGTTCAAATGCAAACATGATTATTTCCTCGTACAAGCTAAATGCAAAAATACACAATGTACTTCATACTTGTAAGTAGGATGCTAGTTGCTTTCTTTAAGCTAGCTACCCAAAATGTGTCTTTTGAGATCATAGTATGTATCTGTTTACTTTTGTGCCTAATAAGATGGTTGATAAATACTATGCATTTATGCCATTTTGTGTGTGTGCTTTGTATGTTGAAGTGTTTTTTTGTAGAGTAAAAGAGTTCCATTTTTATAGCCTTGTTCTCATTGTACTTACAATTTTGGTTCTTTCTTTGGTCCATCACAGCCAGTTATAGCTCAAAGAGTAATTCAAGAAAGCAAGGCCTTATTAGAAAACCTGATTTGGCAGCTAAGGTCGTGAGGACCAGTAATCATGTATGTATTATATATATATCACTTGCTTTTTAGTGCTTATTTGCTTTGAAATTGAATAGAGCTATATTGATCTAACTTATTTTCATTTTCGAAGGTTGTAGCCTTCTTTAATAACTAATGTTTGATGAAGTATAGTTTGACTTATGCTTATATCTATGGCTCCTGTTTCCTTTGTAGAATGGCAAGGTTCATGGTTCTAACTCTGTTAGACCAAAGGCCAATACCAGTGGCAGTGCACTGATGGTTTCTGATGTGGTAATCGCTTATTTGATGCATGTTGTCCATTTTTTATACTCCGTTATACTTTTTCTTACGTGGATCTCACCGTGTTTGATCTGCAGGCAAAAGTGAAAATCCAGGAGGTAAGGAACGTGAGGGATTACTCAGTTTTATTATCTGATGATGCTATTATCGGATTCCTATGTTTTATTTAGCCATTTTTTGTTTTAGTTTTGCTTTTAGTAAAATTTCTTTCTGATTTCTTTTCACCTAAATTGAAGTTTTGCTTTCAATATTACTGCTTTCAGTATAATTAAAGTGTTGCTTGGCCTGGGCTGAATCCAGGTGCGGGTGTACGTTAAATTGAATGGGGGCCAATAAAACTGAAATTTTTTACTTATAAAATTCATTTTAGAAATGAATCTGATGTCTGCCCCCATTAGGAAAAAGCCATTTTAGTGATAGTTTGAAGTTGTGGTGAAGTGCTGTTTAATATGTTGTTTTCAGATTGAAATGTTGTTAAAATTTTAACTAGATAAGGATTAAGAGAGCTATAGTACTCTAACACTCAAACACTGGGAGTGTAGCAGTGGAAATTCCCCAACTATGTATATATACATCTTTGAATCTTTTGATGAAGTATGCTCCAACTTTGCAAGGATTAGATTGAAATGGTATATAGTCATGAGGTTTGAGTACTCAACTTGGGATTGAAGGGTTGGTGTTGAGTTAGAACTTATTTATCCATTTCGAATAGAGAAAAGTATCAAGTTTTTTTCTTTTGAATTACATTATAAATGATTTTCTGTAGGTTGTACCAGGTGTTCCAAAGACCAAGGATGGATATAATCTATCTAAATGATATATGGTACCCGTATTTATAATTTTCAGGCACAATTTGGAGTTGATTTGGCAGATTTCTTTTCGAACTCTTCACTTTACCATTAAGTAGATTAAAGAGACTAGACAATCCATCAAATTTAGTTTTAAGTTCATGTGTGTTATATATAGCTCTTTTAAAAGTGAAGTTCACTTAACTTTTCACTTTTTACTTTATTTCACTTTCAGTTTACTTCACTTTACCATATGTTGTTAATTGACAACCTATATGTTAAGAAATTTTATTCCAGTATTCACTTTATGTTTCTTTTCTCTTTGAAATTTTCCATGAGCAGGCAGCTATTCAAAACATAAAAGATACCATCTACTCAACCATTGATGTGATGGAAGCAATGACATCTTCAATAAGCTTTGCTACCTAAAGTCATTCCCTCCTAAAAGTAAACAAATTAAATATCCCCCACATTGTGAACTTCCTTCAACGATTGTTTGTTTTGTTGTCTTTAAGGTGCCCAGTTACTGTCATGTTAGCCTTTATATTTTGGTATATTAGGCAACACATAATCCTAGATGATATGTCTCTTGATTTGGATTACCTGTTCAAATTTTTATACATTTTGCCAACTAACAGGTTGAATGCACAAGTGCATTGGTAAATGAGCTATTTAATACAGCTTCCCTAGAGTGTGCTTCACTTGATAGATGTAGGAGCTGTTGTCCATGGTCGCAACATTTCAGGTACCCATGTTTTTTCACTCCTCTCCTTCCTACCTAACGATCTGGCATATAAAGCTTGATTTTTCATTACAAAAAAATCTGTTATGGTTCATATGGAAACTGTGAAATGGCAGGTAAAGGCAATTGATGCAAGGAAATTTTGAAAGAATTTTTAAGGAGAAAATAGGTTCTGACTCAATAACCAACTTTAGATATTTGTTCAATCTTATTTTATTAATACTTTCTGTGTAGAACATTACTTTTATTGACATGTGAGATAAAGTATATTACGAAGTACGATAGTATTATTTTATATACATTTAGCACAATTGGCTCCTTTTAATGTAATGTAATACTTTTTTTCAATTTGTAAAGGTTATCTTATCCAGAATCAGTCTCGGGAGAAAAGAGTGATCAAACATGAACTTGTGGGGCATTGTTTTTTCTAGAAGTGAGGCATTCATACAGAGGCACAAGATGAACAGTTTAAATATAACATATACTTGATGTACTAGTGCGCCAAAGCGATGTTGCTGTTTCTAAATTCCAAAGAGCTTATAGAGCCAACTCATAATCTCCGGTTGATGCAGCCTCATAAGTGTTTTAAGCCATCTCACTAGTACATAAGTTTGTTTTAATCTTCCCAGTAAGAAATGTTATACACATTGTAATGAAATCATGTATTGGATGTATATTATATTTATTAATGGTATTTTGTATACTATTGTTTTGGCATTTCTCTTCTCCTGCAATCACGTTAATTTATTTATGGTTTTCATATCAATGAAGTTCTTATATCAATGGGGTCATATTGCAATTTTTCCTGAAAATTTCTACATCGGTTGATAAAGCAACCGATGTGAAAGCTTTTCTACATGGGTTATAATTGATGTGAAAACCCCTATTTTCCGGAAAAAATGAAGCTTTTCTACATGGGTTATTTTAGACCCGATGTAAAATTTTCCACATCGGTTATAACCGATGTGGAATACCATTTAAAACGCCGTTTTGGGCGATCTTCTAGATCGGGTATTGCACGACCGATGTAGAAAGACTTTTACATCGGTTCTATAACCGATGTGAAAAGTCTCTACTTTTCACATGGGCTGGAACCACATCGGTTATTTGACCGATGTGAAAAGCCTTTTTTGACCGATGTGAAAAGCCTTTTTTGTACTAGTGTCTGGGTGACAGAGGTAAGGCCTTCAATGAGACCTTGCTGCTTCTGTATGGCAGAGAAGATGTCCTTGTTATTGGCTTCAAGGAGCACCATCTTCTGATAACGGTCTCTGTCAGTAGATAGGAGTGTTTGAGCCTGTTCTTGATGAACTTTGCACATTGCCTCAATAGAGGTCAAGTGCCTCTCTGTCCTGGCATCAAATTCCTTCAGAGCCTCAAGATGCTCTGAGATAGTGTGGATTGCATGTCCTTGACTCAGGAGAGTCTGTTGAAAGATAGAGAGTGTGTTGTGGATGCCTACCACTTCTGTTGACAGGGCATCTGTTCTGGCAGAGGATGAGGCTATGAAGTTGTTGAGAGTTCATGTGAGGTTCTCAAAACGATCAGAGATGAACTGCATACCTGAGTTTAGATTGTCATTCACATGAGCAAGGTGCCCATAGTGTTTGTCATTGATCTCTATCAGTTTGTTCATGCCTTGGAGGATCTGTCCTCCAAATTCTTCAGCAGATTCAACAAATTTGTTGAAGGGGATGTTGTTCTGTTGTCCATCAGCTTGAGGCATCTCTAGACCTCTTCCCTTAGGCAATGGGTGATGTTCTTGGACAGATGATAGAGATTGGACACGCTGTTCATGTTCCAGTTGAGTCAGAGGAGGGGTCTTCTGTCTCTTTGATGTGGCCTTGTAGGATTTGCTGATCATGAATCCATCCATGTCAGAGGAAACTTCATAAGGAGAGTAGATAGGTATTCTGTTGCGGACTACCTTCTTCTTCTTTCTTAGGGAGGGATTGGGGGCAGTAGAATGCCTGGAATACCCTTTAGGTGCAGAGATGGGAGAGACAGTTGTAGGGTCTGAGTCTCTGAGAAACCATACAGGTTTAAGGTTCTCTGCAGGTTGTTGTGGAGGAGGTAATTCTGGAGGAGGGGATTGATGATCAGATTCAGAGGATGAAGAGGAGATCTGTTGGGGTGAGGGATTCTGGTGCAGGGGTGAAGATTGAATAGGTGAGGCATTCTGTTGAGGGGGGGATGGTGGAGATGAAGGTGAACGGTTCCTGAATGGAACAATTGCTCTGCAGGGAGATGCAATTTTTTGTTTGGGTGATTGAGGAGGGGTGGGGGTTTTCTGTTTAGGAGATTTAGGTTGAGGGTGTTCTGGTGGAGGGGTTCCGGTGCTGGAAGGAGGTGAGGGAATGTGGGGTTCTGTTGGGATAAAAACAGAGGGGGTTGGAGAGTTTACCTCAATGATGTTTTCCTCGAGCAAAGAAGTCCTCCACTCCTTGATATGCTCCATCATTGCTTGTCCTTCTGACTTGAGTACAGAGGACTCTCCTGGGTTGAGGTGGGGTTGCACAGAGTCTGTTGCCATCTTTGTGAACAGCCATTCTTCAAAGGCTTCAATTTCTCCATCTTCTAGAGGTTTGACAGCTTCCTCTGAGGGTGAGGAGATGAGAATGGCCTTTCCCTTGTAGCTCGCCTTCTTCTTCTCAAGAACAGAGTGAAGAAAGTTGAGGGCAAAGCACTTTGAGACATCATCAGTCCCAACCCAGTTCAGAATGGCTTCCTCTTCTGGCTCATAATGATCAAAATACTGGATTATTTTGGAGAGGGATCCCATTCTCCACCTTCTCCATTCAAGAACCCGGGTAAACTGTCTGTCAAGCAAGGACAGATACCCATCTTTGACAGGGCTGGGGTGCTCTGGTGGAGTTGGCACCCTGTTCTGTTCAGGAGATGCAGCAGAGGTGGGGATCTCTGGTTCCCCTTGAGTGTCTGCCACTCCCTCAGACACAGAAACTACAGGTTTAGTAACCTTCTCCTTGGGTTTTGTGGTCCTCTTCCTCTTCTGTCCAGCCTTTGGAGGAGCAACAGGGTCTGCCTTCTCGGTCTTCTTCTTCTTCTTCTTCTTCTTCTTCTTCTTCTCAGCAGAAGGGGCTACAGAGAGAGGTTTCTGTACCTTCTCTCCTTGTTGTCTTTTAGCCTCAAGTTGAAGCTGTCTCTTCACTTCTGCCTTTATGGCTTTCTCTCTGTTTGGAGAAGCAGTCAAGAAAATTACCTTGGTGTGATCCAAAGCTGAAGCCTTCCTCAAGTGTACCCCTTGTTTGAGGAGCACTTCTGAAATGAGTAGTCCATGTCCTAGCTTCCCAGAATAGAGGCTAGTTTTTGGGTTCTTCTTCTTGATCACTTCAATCAGGGACTTCACCATGACTTGTCCCCAATTGATGTTTACCCCATGATGCACTGCATAAAGGGCCTTTGCATTGGCAGTTGTGACATCATCTGTGGAGGTGTACTTGCACCATAAACATTTGTGGAAAATGTTTATGAGCAGCTCAAATTCCTTCTTGAGCAAGTTCTTCTTGATGTTGACCTTCTCTACTTCTTCCCCTTTTCTGCAGAACTTCTTCTTGAATTCTGGCAGAGGGATGTCAGTATCCTCCAAATCGAGTAGAGAGGCCCTGCCTTCCTCTTGTTGAATGTTGAAGATATTGATGACGTCAACATCAATCAAAACTTCTTCGCTTTGAAGGATGCATTGAGATAGAACTCAACGGTGTCAACGTTGCTGTAGGCTTCATAATTATGAGAGATGACCTTGCTCAGTTGACATTGTGACAGTCCGTCAACAATGGAGGTCATCCTCTCCTTTTTCTCTGCGAACCTGGGTAGGACTTCCAGTTCGCATCTCATGCCTGTCAGTACATTCTTCAGGAGAGTTGCCTTTTGTTCCTTTGAGAGATCGGAGAAGCTCAAGAAAGCCATGGAGTTTACTGCGGTTAGAGAGTTTTTGGAGAGATAAGAGTTCAAAAGCTTGAGAGTTATGAGAGCAGTGACGGTTTAGGTTTGCGAAAGGGGGTTTTATGGATATGGGTTAGTGGACGTTTGAGATAATTTACGGTTCCAAGATACCAATAAATGTAAAAAGGGGCGCAGTAAATAAACGGGGGCGCAGTAAATATTATACGACTTGATACCGTTTTAAGGGTAAAAGGGTAAAAGACCTTTAATGATTTACTAGGTCACCCGGTTTACAGAATTTTCTAAGTCCACCACCTTCTGTTAGACAAGAGAGGGTTTTTCTGTAGAGGGGGGTTTTCTGTTGCTGAGGTGTTCTGCCAGGGTAGGGATCAGAAGAGGTTGACAGAAGGGGTTAACAGAAGGGGTTCTGCCACAGGTATTCTGTTAACAGCAAATGAGCAACAGAGGGCCTTCCTTTTCAACTTTCCCTTGGAATCTCATCCATCATTCCCAATTCCTCTCTCAGTTTGTTGAACCTAGCCTCAGGAAGAGGCTTTGTCAGGATATCTGCAAGCTGGTCCTCTGTTGGCACATGTTCCATGCAGATGTGCTTCTTTTCAACATGATCTCTGATGAAATGATGTCTGATCTCATTGTGTTTTGTCCTGGAATGAAGAACTGGGTTCTGAGTGATAGCAATGGCACTGGTGTTGTCACACAACAACTTGATCTCCTTTGCTTGAATTCCATAGTCCTTCAGTTGTTGCTTCATCTAGAGTAGCTGAGCACAGCAACTCCCATCTGCAATGTATTCAGCCTCAGCTGTACTTGTTGAGATGGAGTTCTGCTTCTTGCTAAACCAGGAAACAAGCCTTCCTCCTAGCAATTGGCAGTGACCAGAGGTGCTCTTTCTGTCTAGTCTGCAACCTGCAAAATCTGAGTCAGAATAACCAATTAGTTCAAAGTTACCTCCCTTGGGATACCATAGGCCTGCATTTGGATTTCCTTTGATGTATCTGATGATTCTCTTTGCAGCACTTAGATGGCTTTCCTTGGGCTTTGATTGGTATCTGGCACAGATTCCAACAGAGAACGAGATGTCTGGTCTGCTTGCAGTTAGATACAACAGAGATCCTATGATTCCTCTATATGTTGTTGCATCTACATCCTTTCCTTCATCGTCTGGACCAATTCCTTGTGAAGTGTTCATGGGAATCTTTACTGATGATTTGCCTTCCACTCCAAACTTCTTGATTAGATCTCTGGTGTACTTCCCTTGATTGATAAAGATCCCTTCTGGAACTTGTTTGACTTGAAGTCCTAGGAAGTAACTGAGTTCTCCCATCATACTCATTTCAAATTGGCTCTGCATCACTTGGGAAAATTTCTTGCACAGTTCTGGATTAGTACTTCCAAATATAATATCATCAACATATATTTGTACTAACAGAATGTGATTAGCAACAGAGATTTGAAATAAAGTTTTGTCAACCTTTCCTTTAGTAAACCCACGGTTCACTAGGAAAAGGGACAATGTGTCATACCAGGCTCTGGGAGCTTGCTTAAGACCATAGAGGGCCTTTTTAAGCTTGTAGACACAAGAGGATTGAGTAGGAATGACAAAACCTGGTGGTTGTTCCACATAAACTTCCTCTTCAAGATCTCCATTTAGAAATGCACTCTTGACATCCATCTGGTAGACCTTGATGTTGTTGAAGGCAGCATATGCTAGAAAGATTCTAATGGCTTCAAGTCTGGCAACTGGTGCAAAAGTCTCATCAAAATCTATTCCTTCTTCTTGACAGTATCCTTTA